TTGGGGTAAGATCACAGTGTATTAATGCTTTGAGAATTGCAGTGCAGTTGCGGTTTCTGAAACTTTTTCCTTGGGAAGCGTGAAGCTAGTTTTCTTGTATCTCGGTTATTTCTATCAGAAAATTGTCCGAAATCTTCATACGCTCGCAACTTATGTTTTCACACGGGTGTTTTGTTGTTGACTTGAGTCGCTCAAATTGTGCACATATTATCGTAACTACACTTTTCTCATATGTATGGCATATTTGCGTTTCTGCATGGGCTGGGGGAATGAAAAGTCGAATACATCACCCGTAGGAAGAAGATAGTTACAGTGCAGTCGTTGCTTTTAGATCCAAGATGTCACCGTGCGAGTAGAATCCATTCGTCACTTCTCGGTATCTCAAATGGCTTTACTGGTAAGCATTACCATGTGGCCTTTGTTTTCTTAGCAACTTTATTATGGTGTTCTATTTTCAGGTTGAAAATGCTCACATTTTACTAGCAGGTAGTGCTCAGCAACGAACTAATATCTGTGAGGTCTTGCTGGCAGCGGCATGGATCTGTGGAGAATACAGCCAGTAAGTCTTCCTTGGTTTCCTCGCCCTCTATGGTTTATTTATGTTTATATGGGGAACTAAGATATAATGAATATTCGCCAGGCATGTCCAAAATATTTCGTCTGTTCTGGAGTCGATGCTGCGTGCCCGTACCTCAGTGATATCTGGTCATATATTATCGGTGTATGTGCAAAACATTGGGAAGCTGTATAGTACACTTCTCTCTAAGGCGGAGAAGGTAATATGGTTGGGCTCATTGCCATGCCAAACTACCCTAAAATTCCATAGATAAGAGCGGGTGAACCTACCGGTGAAAAATGAATTGGAAAAAATCGAAATTAAATGCAGTCACCCCTCTAACTTGATGGATGGATAAACTAAACTTCGAAGAAGAAGTTAAGAAGAAGCTCCCTTATCTATGGAACTTTAGGGTACTTCGAAACTTCTAGTTCTCTTTCTATCCAATCTGTTTAGGAAGATGATTGGGATGCAATTGAGTCGCTCGACAATCTGATGTTATCGAAGCTGGCAGATTTTGAACTGGCGGAGCATCTCGAAGCACAGGAAAGAGTGCGCATTCATTTTTCGTTTTTTAGAGGTTATCGAGAACACGTCAACGAATCATAATGAAGAACAAGTAGAATAAGAGTAATAAAGCAGAAACCATCAAAGTAAAACTCAAAACCCAGCATTTTCTCGAGGAACGTAGGTGGGCATGGAAAAAATAGATTCAAAGGAGTAAAACGTATCAGTACAGGGCTTGAGAGTGTACTCAAAGGCGGACAAGAATGCTTGCCGTCACCGTAATTAAGAACGCGTAAAAAATTAGCACGTGAATTTAAAACTGGTAAACAACTTTCACTTGTGGGTAATCCCAGAAGAAGGGCCTGGAGTCCAAGTGAAAATAAACTGCAAAAGAACACTTTTCGAAACTTGGGCTAGAGGGTGCTTTTGATACCTATAAAAATAAATTAATGATACCGCACTAAAGAATGTATGTAATGAAATAACAAAAGAATAAATGTGTTTTAGATGTTAGAAGATGACCTAACTGGCTTATCTTGAGCCTACCGTACTCCCCGTATGCTGCGTTACCTACCGTACTCCCGGTATGCTATCGGATCCTTTATGCCATCTCGACGTGCGCTCATGCCACGCACTTTCCTTCGGAGTTAATTCGTACAACCCCCTATTTTACCTACTTTTAGCCAGTCTTATATCTCGCGAATTCGGCATAATTTCTTCACCAGCGATCGCGAATTTTGCATAATCCCTTTACCACCGTTGCTGCCCCAACACTTCGGGTTTTTGATCTGGTAAGAAGTATCGTAAAATCATCGTGAACTGTGCCTTCAGACCAACCTCTCATCGAACTGTATTTTTCCTGTTTGTCCAATGGTGATAAAGCCGAAATTAATTAGTAAAAGAAAAACATGACAACAAGGTTAGGTTATCAATCCCGGGGCGCTGCAATCTCTATAAAATGGTATCTTGAAACAAAGTTTTTCTTTTCTGCGGGATGATTTTAACGATTCTCCTTGTTTTCGGATGTTTTCAAATGCACCCTTGTATCAAGTTAGTTAAGCGTTCCGCTGCTGCTAAGCACAAGCTATCACGTAGCGCACTTAATGCTGCATGAATCATTGCTTCTCCATCGAGTACACAACTGCCTTTTTAGCGTCTAAATCACAAAGAAGCAAACATTGACGGTCCAGAGAAAGGCCAATGTACCGCATGCTTCGCCGATTGCAGATCTTAAAACTAAACAAAACTAAAATTTATTTCATCTTATGCACCATTTGACTTCGAACTTTAGGCCTGTACTTTGATGGCTCTACTGCGCGTCATTGAAGCAGCACATGCACGTCGCGAGAAGATCGCCGGCGATGTTGCGCGTCTCTACGAGGGTGAGCTAAATCCAGTTGCTGCGAAGGCGCAACGGAAAGTGCCGGTGCCAGATGGGTAAGAAATTTCAGAAAAAGTTGACTTCGTATATCTTGCTTCAAAGTTTATGTGCTTTAGAATTTGAGTGGAATTTTCTTTATTGATCAAGAGACAATAATAGTTCCCTTAGTGATATCGTTACTTCTGAAATTTAGTTTGGATCTCGATCAGTGGATAGGTGAACCTTGGCTGGATACACCTGAGTCAAGCGAAGGGAGTGACAATGATGCCACTTTCGGACAGGTGACCAATTTTCGAGTTCTATTCGTTCGTAAGTGTAGAATGAAGAGGATTTCTTTTGGTGAAAATACGTGTCTCTACTGTTAATGTGTCAACAACGGATTTTGACAGCCATTTCTGTGTTCCTATGAGAGGAGCTTTTCACTTCAGCCAGTACCACGAATCAGAAGTGAATTCACCAGTTTTGGCGTCGTTCCTCATTATGAAGATGAGCCAAAGTCGAAGAAAAGCAAAAAGACGGTATTTTGTTCTGTGTCTGTTTAATAGTATATGAGTTGTATGCTTAGAATAATCAATTCAATTGTGAGTTCTGAAGGTGTTTTTTAGGAAGCAAAGGAGTTAAGTCCAGAAGAGATTGAGCGACGTCGTCAACTTCGTGAAGCGGAAAAAGAGAGTAACCCATATTATGTGAAGGGGTCAGCGACTGCGCCAAAACGACCAACTCGTTTCATTGCTTTCGAGGCTATACACGGAACCGATGTTGACAAGGTCGAGATTCAAAGTCCTTTGGAAATTCCTGGTGAGTAAAATCTAGCCAATACGTGAAAGTAAAAGTCCTTACTACACATTGACTGCTCGCGTCGGTCTGTCTGTCCACCTGTCTCTCTATCTTTCAAGAAATCCTATGTCACCTTAAGAAGCACCCTGCAAAGGTCTAGTTAAGTTTGGATGAGTTATGCATAGGGCAAAAACAACGAAACACGCATAAGCGCAGTGGAGTTCCGCCCACAGGGGATAGAGCATGCACCGGAGCGGGCGGAGTCGTAGGCAAAGCTTTCTAATTTGGTACCATAATAGCCCGGTACCGGAAAAATGTGGAATGGGTGAACAATTAAATGAACTAGGTTGGTGGGCGGTGCTTACGACATTAATCTTACTAGATTCAATGAAAAGCTTCGGAGAGAATTTCCGCTCGCTGTGTGCGGGACTGGGCGCTATTGGAAGGTGTTTCGGCGAAANNNTGGGTGTAGCTAATAAGGAACGTTTACTGGATCGCAGTGGTCATTCAGTTATGAATGTATACTGCTGTAGGTATTTACCTCAAACGCTCATCTCAAATCTGTTTCTCGAACCTGCAAAGCTGTTCTATTTCACTCTTGTTCACTACTTCCTCAGTGTTCTCAAATGTGGCTCTTCCCGCGCGTTTCCTTCTGTTCAGCTCCGGAGCTAGGTCGTTTATAATGCTGACCTCTTGCCTGAGACACATGGAGCTGAAGCATTCAGAAATATCCTTCATGTTAAGCGTAAAATTGAGCATCAGGTACCAATCCGTCTTTTATGAAATTGCTTTAATGAATTTCAGTATAAAGTCGATCATTCCACAAGCGTTGTCGAATTTTTCCATCATTCGTTCCGCTCGCTCGATGTTCGGTGTTATAAGTACGATGTTGTCTGCAAAGCGAGAATTGAATGAATGTCGTCTCTCATTCCAAATGACGCATGATGTTCTCGAAAAAAGGGCCGGAAAATTGGGCGAGATGGTACCAGCTCTGGCTATCCCCTTTCTTTACTTTGAATATGACTCCTCGAGAAGTTGTGGGATCATGTTCATAGAGTTAGAATCGAGTTCACAAAGCGTCCTCATAGGATATTTATTGATGGATCTTTTCGCTTGCCCAAGTTTAAATTATCGCTTTTGTCCTGACAATATCATAAGCCTTTTCTAATCGACTATTGTAGAACAGAGTGGCATTCCGTGCTTTCGCTATATGTATTTCAGTGAGTCATGTGAAAGCGTGTATGTGAGCGATCGTACCGAATCCTCTCTGGACTCCTGCTGGTTCGCATGGCTGTCCTTCATCCCAGGTTGTGTCTGTCCTTTTGAGGATGACTCATTTAAAGAACCTGTAGATTACACTCGCAAGATTTGGCGATAGTCGTCAAATGTGGTCTGTTGTTCTTATACAGCAACACAGTCTTGCTTGTTGTTTTTTCTATCTACTTTGCATTGTGGCAATGGTCCGCATAGGTAGCGATGGTAACTAGAGAAAGGATCATCAGATGAGTAGGTTTGATCCTTTCGCAACCGAGCGCAGTAAGTACCTCATTGGCTGGTGGCTTGATAATTTTCAGAAGCGAGAAGTGATGTAAAGACATCCATTCTGCCTAATATGGCATCCAGTAGTTATTCCGTCTTTGTTGACAAAGAAGAGTCATCTTGGTGTCGTAACTGCAAAGCTCGGTGTGCTTTGCAAATTCTCTTCCCGGTTTTCGCAGGGATGACCAGTACTGTTGCCCTTCTCTTTTTCAGTTCTTCCGTTATCGCTTCTCTGATTAGCTTCGCATTTTTGAACTTTAATTGGTTCCGCTTGTAGCTTGTGTATGCCACACTAAGGTATCAGCTCGAGTATCTTCGAAGAGCCACGTCTCTTGAGAACTTTTAGACTCTCTGCTTTCCTAGCACTATCGTGAACTTGTTCGATGACCCAATAATATTCCTCATCTATGTCTCTCTAATAGTATCTTCCCATGGTTTTGCAAGAGTAGTGGATTGATCTCAGTCGAAAAGGTGTTGCCGTTTCTTAAATATGACGGGCAGCAAGTTACTTTTCAAATGCATGGATTTATGCATTGTATGCTCTGTTATACGTGAATCGTTGGTGTTTATCGGCGTGTTCCCACATGTTTATGTGGTAAAGTGTATACGTGAAGTGTACAAGTCGGCTCCCCCGGCTGACGGCGGGCTACCCTCCTTCCTGTGTAAAAATGGCCTCCCACCTGCACCACCCATCGAATTTTAGCGCTCTAATTCCATGAGAACAGGAGCTGCGAATCCACTCAAACCCCGCCCACTGGCCCATGTGGACGGAGTCCAGTCCTGCCGTCCAGCGTAAAAGTTCCAATCGTGCCGCCTGCACTCCTACCAAATTTGCACGCACTAGGTCCAAATTTAAGTTATTCACACAAACCCCGCCCCTTGTGGGCGGAGTCCGCTTCTGCCACCCCCAATGAGTGTTCTAATCCTGCCGCCTGTGCTCCTACCAAGTTTGAACTTTCTAGGTCTACGGGGACAGGAGTTGTGAGTTTCCGCTCAAACCTCGCCCCCTGTGGGCGGAGTCCGGTCCTGCCACCCATCATAAGTGTAACAAAATGATTGATGTAATGATTTTCCAAAGTGTTTTCATAAAGCATTGCATTTTTGGAGAACGCCCCGCACATCGGGAGTGGGTCTCTCTAGTTCGAGCTAACTTATCGATGCACACCTCTACCCGCCTTTACACCCCAGTTTTGAAGCCGTCTTGTGGCCAAATTTGGAATCATGGTCCTCAGTATAGCTCATTTCGATACACGCCACGCCCACTGTGGGCGAGGCTCCGCCAGGCTGATGTGTGCTTTATACTTCTCGGGACATGAACACATACATAACAGACGACAGACAGACGACAGACAGAACGGCAGACGAAGCGCTTCATAGCAAGTAGGATGTATGCATAAGTGTATACATATGTATGTGTGCGTGTATTTGTAATTGCATGTCTTTGTGATAGATTTTTTGACCAACTTGTAAGCAAAAAGTTAAGTGCCGTTTTCGCTTGATGAGTGTGTTAACTTCACGTAGTTTTTCGTCTATGTCTCCGAAAAAAAGGAAGAGCGAGCTCTTTTTCACATTCGTTCGCGGTGTGACTTATGCACTACGATTCATGATTTTTGGGACCTAACCGTATTAGCATTATACTGCTGGCATTGTCGAGTATTACAATGATCATGAGCGATATGAGTTGAGCTGGTGGTATCAATCATATTCAAGGAGTCGTTGGTTTGTCACGGTACATGGAACAGCAAGACTCAACGCTTACGTGGAAGAAGGCGAAAGGGGCCACGAAGAAGAAAAAGAAAACGAGTAGGAAGAGCAAGAAGAATCATGCCAACAGCTCAAGTGAAGACGAAGTGAATGTAGTTCATCGAGTTAGTATCGATTCATTTGTTAAATAATTTGTTCGTGTCGCAAGTTAGTATAGAATAGTTTTTATTATCATTTGACGTATTTCAAGTACTTTGGTTAATTTTCATTACTACAAATAAAGGTCAATCGTGCAGACGGTGAGATGCCGGAGGGTGCGCGGACTACGGACGACGAAGACATTCATACGGTATGCGCTATCTTCATAAATTATGTTTCATTCCTAGAAACAAAACGAATATTCGGTTGGTTACCGTCTGAACCTAAATTCTCATTCTGGGATAGATGCGTGCGCATTAATTTGCTCAGTTTTGTACAAATTTAGATAGAGTAGGCTAGTGATGTGTTCGTTCTTAGAATGACACTTTAGCAAGGACTTTCGGACGAGTTTCGTGCCCTCGATATAAATCTGGATGAACCGCTCCGGCCAGATGAGGTGGTTCGAGGTCCACAGGCATATAATCGTCAAAATGCTGGTCCACGACCTGTCCTTGTACCTCGTTCGCCTACAACAACATCGTATCAGGGCCGGACGCTTCCAAAGTTGGATGATCCAGTCAAGAAGAAAAAGGAGAGGAAAGGCGGTGATGATGGGTAGGTG